ATCCTAAGTTTAGCTCTTCATTTGAAATAATTGGTTATTCAGATTCTGACTTTGCAGGATGTATGATGGATAGGAAAAGCACTTCTGAAACATGTCAATTCATTGGAAATTCTTTAGTCTCTTGGTCCAGTAGAAAATAAAATTCAGTAGCCCTATCTACGGCAGAAACTGAATACATCACATTATGAAGTTATGTGGCACAAGTACTTTGGTTGAAACAACAGTTGATTTATTTAGGATTGTCTATAGGCACTATTCCAATTTATTGTGATAACACTAGTGTTATTTGTGTTTTTAAAAATCCTATTCAACATTCAAGAACCAAACACATAGACATAAGGCATCATTTCATAAGGGATCATGTATCCAAGGGAGAAATTGAACTCATTCATGTTACAACTGAAAATCAACTTGCATACATTTTTTACAAAACCTTTAACCTTTGATATTTTCAGTGCATTAAGAACAAGGCTTGGTGTGATTGATTTAAATGCTTAAATAAAAATGTTCTTGCAACATTGATGTTTGTTTATTAATTAAATGTTTTGTATGTATTTATGATTTTGTTTGTGTGATTTTTCCTTTTAGAGTCTGTGCTTCTTCGTTGTTTTTGGTATTTATTTTGTTTTGTTTTATTTTTGAATTGTAGTTGTTTGAGTGCAAAATTTTTTTTTGGTCATCATCGTCCGGGACGAAATATTTTCGTACGGGACGATTTGTGTAGTGTGACAAACTTTCAAATTTTGAATCGTTTGAGTGCAGTTTTTTAATGTACTTCATCTGTGCGATCGTCACGATTGCCCGGGATGAAATATTTTCCAAACGACGGGACGAATGAATGAAGTAGTTGAATGGATAAGGTAGTTTTTAATATGAACTTCGTCTGTAAGAACCTTTGGTTCGTCTGGACGAACACATGTCGGTTCGATGTAGGGGACGATTTCAACTGTCATTAAAACGATATAAGTTCTGATCGTCCCGGGACGAACACGTGTTCGTCTATACGATCAGACTAGTCAAAAGTCTGTACGAAAGGATGCTTCGTAAGTCGCATTAATTATAAAAATCTGTTTCATTCTGGTCGTATTGGATCGTCTGTATGAAATATTTTCGTACGGGACGATCGAAAATGTCGTACGGGACGAAAATTTTTCGTTTGGTATGAACATGTCATTTTCAATATATAGGCGGGCTTTTTAACTCAATAGTCACACGCTAAACATCACTTTCAACTCATCTCTTACTCTAGATCATTTTCAAATGGCCAGTTCAAGTAAGCGTCAAAAGGTCTTAGTGAAGAAGCCACATAGGAATTCGTCCGAAAACTTTCTGTCCAAAGCAAATGAGGATTCTTTTCCTAGATTTGCTTCTGTCAAAATCACTCCTTCTCGAATTTTAATTCAAGAAGATATTACCTTTAAGGTAATGCATTCATTACTCATTCCCTTGTTCCTAAGGGAATTCTTGAAGTATTGGATAAACATTGCAGAAATTTTCTTTGGCATAAAGAGAATGGAAAGCAAGGAATGTATTATATCAATTGGAATGAGCTCTGTCTACCAAGTACTAATGGTGGTCTTGGCTTTCATTCTGACTCCTTATGGGAAGGTCCATTGAGATCAAAATTGACATGGAATTTCATTCAAAAACCAAACTCGTTATTAAATAGAGTTCTTATTGCTAAATATGGTAGCAATATTTGGTTTTCATCTCACAGAGACACTTCAGCAACTTGGAAAATTATTTTGGATGGTGCAAAGCATTTAAAGCCTATTTTAAGATGGAGAATAGGTAATGGAAAGAACATCGGCATTTTAGAAGATGTATGGATTTGTGATAAATCAATTAGTATGTGGCCAACATTTATCAATGTCAACATTATGGAGCAGCTCAAATTGGATGCATTACTCAATGACAAAGGTGATTTGAATTACAAATTCATACAAGAATCTTTTGGAGAAGAGCTTATCAGTGTTATCAAGCAAGTTCTATTGCAACTCTGGTTTCCGAGTTTATAATTTTGATGATAACAAATAATATTGATTACCTTTTTATTTCTCCTAGTATTCATGGTGTATATTTGTTTGTGTGTTAACTAATATTTTAGGTATATCATGCACCGTTCTTTGAAGCTTCATGTCTCAAGATTAGGTAGAATAAGTTATGTTAAATGAGTCTATAATTTTCATTTATTAATTTTTTAATTTATTGACTCAAGTCGTGTAATGATGTATGTTACCTTGGTGACCGTGCACACACACAGGGGGAGAAAAAATGATTTTAAATATTTTAATTTTTCTGTACATCATACTGTACGATATGGATCGTACTGTATGATTTGATGTTATAGAAATTAATTAAAATATTTTATTTTCCAGGAAAAAATATTTTTGAAGTATAACTAATCGTACCGTACAAATACCACATCGTACTGGACGATCTATTACAATTAGAAAGCCTGTCGTCTATTAAATTAGGCTAAACTTTGAATTTGAAAAGTTGTTCTAATCGTACTGTATGAATCATATCATACTGTACCGTACTGTACGATCTTTAAAACTTTACCTAATTTAATCATATGATTAGTCAATTGAATCTGCTTAATTTTATATTCTAATCATACTGTATGATTAAAATAGACGATTTTCATTGTCCCATGTTTCGTCCTGGACGAACTGCATTTCGATTGAACTGTTCGTACAATATTAACTGGTGATCGTGCTGTACGAATAGACAAATTGAATTATTCGTATAGTACTAATTGGTGATCGTACAGTACTAACATGTCAAATTCTGTACAGCGTACCGGACGATCATGCGATTCTATTGTATGATCTTTGACGGCTGAATTGATTTTAAGGATTTTTTTTATGCCCTCTATTTAAGCTTTCTCATAAGACTTTGTAAGAGTTTTTGGCAGCCATTGTGTCTTCGTTTTTCTAGAGAAAATTTGAAGAGAGAACTTGAATGGGGGAGAGGAAAGGGTGAAGTTTGAGAGGGAGAAGATCCTTGGAGGGGGATTTCAAGGAAGTGTTGAGGGGATTTCACACTATTGCTCCAGCGAGCTTGCACCTAGTACCATCAGATTCAAAGTTCGTCTTGAGGGAAGTTTTGGGAAGAAGATCTCTTTGGTGTCAAAGGACCCGGCTCCTCCGCCGCACCGGGAAAGGTGGAAGTGATTTTGTAAGGGCTTCCCCGCCTAGCTATGGGTCTAAATGAGAGTCGAAAAATTTTAAATATCCAATTCACCCCCCCCCCCCCCCCCCCCCCCCCCCCCCCCCGTCTTGCGCATCTCGTACTTTCAAGTTCAATTCACTTCTAAATGTGCGAAAGATAAAATAGAGTTAATACATTAGCCCCGTCCTGCGCATCTCATACTTTCAAGTTCAATTCATTTCTAAATGTGCGAAAGATAAAATAGAGTTAATACATTAGCATTCGGGTAGATCCATAGCAACTTTAGCCTTTGAAGAGAAATTCAAATCTTATGAAGTCAATGATTTTACTTAGTTAAAGAAGCTTAAACTGAAACCAAGGATTCCTTTTTTCTGGTTTAGAATCGGAAGGAATGCTCTTCCCACAAATAGTTGGTTTATGTACAGGAGGTTGCTGAATTCCAATCTTTGTCCAAGAGGATGTCTTTTGGAAGAAGGCATAATGCATATTTCTGTTTTTTTGTAAAAAGCTAATTAAAATCTTTGAAGTGCTGAGGAAATGGGGAATCCAAATTCCTTCATTTAATTCGGCTTCTGATATGTGGGATCATCTTCGCTCCTTATCTACAAAGATCATGTTCTTACTAGAATATATTGCTCATCTGTTTTTATTGTTGGAAAGATAGAAATTCTATCAAACATGGAAAAAATTATGCATCCTCATTGTTTATAGCAGCCGAAGTGTTGTCTATATCTATTGAGTCATATATTAATCCAATTATAGATAAATGAGCTGCTAACCAGTTCTATGAACTGAAAGGAAAATTTTTGCATCCTCCACCTCCAAATTGGATTAAGATTAACATTGATGCATCATTTGTTTATCAATAATGGTGTAAACATTGGAGGAGTTAAAATAGATGATAATGAAAGGTTTATCCTTTAGTTTGGAAAGCAACTTTATCATTAGGATATAGCTCAATTTGAAATCATTGCTATCCTTGCCATTAAAGATGCTCTTGAAGATTGAATGGTTGATTATGAAGGAATTTGGATAGAAGGGGATAATAACATCAATGTGATTAAGCTTTTTCAAAATCCACTCAATTTCAACTAGATGCAAATTTTGAATATTTTGATTTATCTTTTTTGCATGACTTAAATTGTATTATTTTTTATTATATTTCTAGAGAAGAGAAAAAGGTTGCAAATTGTTATGCAACCTTGCTCTTAGTGGTAGTTTCTTTTGGAACTTTTTCTATAATAATCTTCCTACAATTTTTACTTTATTATTGAAGGAAGAGTGTGAAAGATTTGCTACCAAATAATTGTTCTTTCTCTTTTATTTTGAATAAAATTGCTATTTGCATTTGCCAAAAAAAAAAATAAATAAATAAACCCCTTTTGCGCAAAAAAATAAAAGACATCATATCTAAAATTTAGAGTAACATCATTACTTTTCTCTTACCATTTTGATCAAAAACTATAAGAAAAATTTTTAAGAAATCCCGCGCAATCCCCAATTGGCAAGCGCTCCCAAAACCCTCAGCATCCACATTATTGAAAACAAAAATATTGTTCGGCCCCAATAAATCAGATAATTCTACAATAATTTTCCAACAGCATATGAACCTGATTTAATTAGAAATCAAGCGCCTACCTCAGAAACTTTAGACCAAAAAAATGATATTATAGGTAACTCTAAAGTAAAACATTCGGACACAAATAAAACCATACCTCTATCACGTTGGATCCTAAACAACGTTTGCAGCAACTCAAAAATGAGATCCAACTAAAAATATCATCCAGTAAAAGAGATTCAACGAGCCTACAAGGCATCCCATGTACTAAAAACTTTTTAGCTTTGCATACGAGTAAACAAAAGAATATTTGAAGTAGAATTTTCAACAAAAGTAAACCATAAGACACGTCAGTTCGGTCTTTTCCTCTTAACTAGGGCACCATCATCTGAGAACAGGGATATGATACTCAACCACAAGAAGCCCACGTGTAATTACATGACCAGTTAAATCATGCATACATCAGAAGACAACATAAATGCATCTGATAACACTGGTACTTTTCAAGTAGAAATTTTTATGCGAATTTGAGAATATTAAACTGAAACGGTGTCAGATGAAAATGCATTATATTCATGTGAGCAAATACTGACATTGCCTATGAAATTAAACCATGATCTCGGTAGCTCAGCGCCCATACCGTACCAACCAAACGGAATGCCCAAACTCCGATCACAAAAAAATTGTGATTATTTCCATAGCCATAACAGCAGTTTTAAGCGCCAATTTATAGGTCTCACATTTCCTTCCATTAAAAATCTTATCAGAAAACCTAATTGCTTGGCAAATCTATCATGTGTCCGCATCCACCACCTACATCTAAGTAAAACCTGCAGGTCTTTGGCGATATGCACGCACTAACTCAATCACCACCTGCTTGAGAAATTTACCGTTAGTATTCTATATTATACGCTGCAAAATTTGGCATGCAGACTGGTTTCTGTATAAAAGCTTGATCGCTGCCTGCTTGAGCAATCTACCATAGTCCAGAAGGCTGAACAAAATAAGCATCTGCATGACAACTTCAGTGTCCAATTTAGTCAGCATAAGTGCTAACAAGACGAGGCATATAGTGGCAGAGACAATACACCAAATTTAACTGCAGCTTGCGAATAATCGAGACTTTAGATATAATTCCACCTTTGAACTAAGCAGCATTCCACAAGAATGAATGAATGAAAATGGGAAAAATACAACTGCCACCAAATAATTGAAACAAGGCTAAGGATGATGAGACTTTAAACCCACCTTGGGGGATGTCAGAACATGCAGACGCAGCCTTAGCTTAGGTGATGTTCCAACATAGCTGCAAATAGTGTAGAATCTCTCCAATAAAGGAGAGCAAACCATCAAATAACCCAACTTGGGGTCGTTAGAACATGCAGAAGTAGCTTCATCATACTTGATGTTCCAATAGCTGAAAATAGTGTTGAAATGGCCTCTACAAAGGTGGTAAGAAATCGCATAACCCTCCTTTTCTTATTTTTGTTCTTTCCAAACTTTTTTCAAGCATAATTCAATTTTCCCATTTCAATTATGGTTGCCGTAGAGACATGAAATAGAAATAATGCTCCATCCCTCAGAACTTAATATTAGCGTAGAACTGGCCTATATAGGTAAGCAAAACATCACAGAACCATCATATATTTTTTTTCTCTTCTTCTCTAGCATCATTCTTTCTTTTTTCTTCTTTCCCTTTTTTTTTTTTTTTACTTTCTGGTTCGCATGGCCTTACATGCATGAAATACAAATAGAGTTCCAATCCTGTGAGCTTGAAACTAGCAACTAACATATAGTTCACAGTTCCTGAATCACACAGTATCCATATTAGCCCAGTTCAGCTTCAAAATTCACCACTAAATACAATAGCAACCAATGCAAAACCGCAAAGAAATTTCCAGTTGACATTGGCTCATTTCTCTAGTATATCATCACTTGGAGGAGTATGCTTCCAACAAGTCGAGCAGAGGTATTCAAGACAAAATGTCTCCACATATTCACAGTTGCTAATACAGCGCCCGCATTTTACACACCTTGAAATACAAACATTACATGCCCTGCATTGTTCAGGCCCCTTGCTATGGCAACTTTCTAACGAGCAATCAAATACAAGCCTACACTTCTGACAAACAGGACACATCTCAATATCAATGGAACAATCACCATCATCATCATCGTCATCACAAGCTAGAGATGTAATGCTGTTGTGATAGAACTTAAGTTTATGAACTTTCGATGGATGCAGTTCATCGGTACTTACTAAAAATCTCAATTCTTCAAACTGTTCTGGAGATGCAATGAATAGCCTACCAAGTTTTAGGGCCTTCAGTCCTGGCATCCCTGACAACTTGAGAGTCTTGAGGCTGCTAATGACGCCCTCAGCACTCAGCCTCAGACACTCAGGTATGCTTAACTGCATCAGAAAAATAAATGGCGTTGACATCTTTCTTCTAAAAGCAGCAATAGCTAAAAGTCATACTCATATATTAAAGATTTTTCTGTACATCATTAGGTCAAAATACATTAAGAAAGAAAATTCTGATGGCTAAGTCAAGTACAGCAAGAGACATAATAGAGCAAACATAAAAGATTCTAGTCAACAAATAGATTTGCTGACCTATTAGGCACATTTGAAAATACATTAAAAATGAAAACTGAAAGGCACAAATCAAGTACAGCTAAAGAACATCTGAGATGATAGTCAATCAAAAGATTTCTTAACCCATTAAGCACTTTGAAACTTTGGCCATTATCCACTATCCATGATGTAATAACTTTTTAATCCAACAAGTATGAACCTAAACAAGCTCAATCATAAGTATATTTAGTGAAGGAAACTACATTGGATCAAATAGGAGAGAAAATTCAGGTGTAATTGAGAAAGTCATCCATAAGCTGTAGCAAACTTGTGAAAACCCAGCTGCCCCTTTTACCCCAACATAATATAGAATCGTGGGTCTATACAACACAACAATAGATTCTAATATTTGAACATTCAATGCTATCAAAAACATATACAAAAAAGGGAGTATTTAAAAGTACTCTAGAGCAAACATCAAGCTTAACAAGTGCTGCACAGGTAATGCCTGAACCACATTATTTAAACCAAGCAAGGGAAAAAAACAGAGGCAAGCACCTGGGCCATATTACCCTCAGTCTAATCAGAAGAATTAGACAACCAATATTAAGCATATTCAATAATCATACATAATCAAAGCTAACAATTTATCACTTATCAAGGCATGGAAGCTATTATGCGCCTATATCATGTATGCTGGAGGAAAACTAACCCCACAACCCCAGATCCCATTCTTTCCCTTGGTGGGTGAGCCTCAAGTAAAAGCAAGCATGCTTTCCATTGTGGTCAAGTTTCTATGTGTAAATGTACATGCATGAATCCATAGTTTATTGAGACTTCAAAACATGTGTATCAGTATTTTTTTAAGGAGTTCAGAAGCACGGAAAGATGGGTGCATTTGCGCACACCTATCTTGATTAAAATATTTGAGAGCTACGCTATGGGAATACAGAACTGTTAGCTTTTATAAAGAATTTAAATGACCACAATAGTAAAGCCATATAATAATTTACATCTTTAAGATTGCTATTTCTGCTCATTAAAGTTTGCTCTTTAGTGGAATTTCTAGGAGGAGAAATGCACCTTTTTTCATTATATGAGTAAAGAAATTCTTCCACAACATATATGTGCATCTATCTTACCATTTCCACGTTAGAAGACATTGTCTAACTACAATCATCTACCATAATAATTATTGCTTGAAATTAGCTGCGAATAATTCAGGCTGAATGAGTGGACTTTATTAATAGCAACTACCTGGTATTTATAGATAAAACCAAGGTTGTAAAAACTAAGCTAGAGATAGAATTGGTAAAGAGAAAGATTCAAGGTTCAATAGTTCGACCTAGCTTGAACCGAGATCAAACTGAATGACGTAATAAATATTAAAAATATTTAAATGATATCTAAATGAGAAGATAACAATGTAATAATAATGAAATAATATAATTTTGGAACAAAAAATTAAATAAAATTCAAATATAAATACATTTTTTATCCTCCCTATTTCAAGGTGCCAAGGGTCGGAGGTCAATCAATTAGCTCCTATTATAAATTTTGTTTATTTAGCTAAGCTTTTGATCTTATAAATTAGGGATTTCTTTCTTTCAAGTTTTTTATCTCCTTTCTATTATTTATTCATTACAACTCTAAAGAGTGGATCCTACAAGTAATAATCCCTCACAACTTATGATTCTGTTCCTAACAATAGCAAAAAAAGAAGCATTTCCTAGATGTTATTTTGATAGGTTCATTGATTTTTTTTTATTTTTGTGCTCTAGGGGTTGGAATTTATTTATAAATAACATTTTACGTGTTTATCATTTTCTTGTTGTTTTTTTTCTCAAGTTTGATATGTTGCATGCCATGATTATTCAACAAATTTTACACTGGCTGTCAACTACTTAATGCAACCCTCCACTTTTCTCATCCAGGACTTGGGACATGTCATGATTATTCCAGGCTGATGCATTGTCTTTGCTCCAAGAGAAGTGGAGAGTTCTTGAAAAGAAAGGAGTTAATAACACTTATATTCAAATCATTAAAGATATGTATACAGGAGCTATTACTTGTGTTCAAACACAAGGTGGTTTGACTAAGTATTTTCCTATTTTGGTTGGCTTACATCAAGGATCAGCCTTAAGTCCATATCTTTTTGCTTTAGCCATGGATGTTCTCCCTAGACATTTGCAAGAGGATGTACCATTGTGTATGCTTTTTGCTAATGATATTCTTCTTGTTGATAAGACTAGAGAGGGAGTTGAAGGTAAACTTGAATTATGGAGGTCAACCTTAGAGTCTAAAGGTTTTTGCTTGAGTAGATCTAAAACTAAATATATCGAGTGCAATTTTAGTAGCTATAGACCTAGTGAGGGGATTGTGACTTTGGACGATCAAATCATTAATAAGAGTACACATTTTAAATATCTTGGATATATTGTTCAGAGTGATGGTGAAATAGATGGAAATATTATTAGCAAAATTCAAGTTGGATAGCTGAAGTGGAGGAATGCATCAGGATTGTTGTGCGATAGAAAAGTCCCCCTCAAACTTAAGAGACAATTCTATAAGATAGTGGAGAGACCTGCAATGCTTTATGGTGCTGAATGTTGGCCATTAAAAGAGAAACATAATACTAAGTTAAGTGTTGCAGAGATGAGGATGCTTAGGTGGAAGAGTGGCATTACCCTTAGAGATGGTATACGAAATTAGCATATTCGTGAAAAGGTTGGAGTAGCTCCAGTGGAAGATAAGATTAGAGAGAGTCGCCTTAGATGTTTTGGTCACATTAAACGGAGGCCTTCCGATGACCCGATTAGAAAGGTTGAGGTATTAGATTTGACTTATGTTAAGAAAGGTAGAGGTAGACCAAAATAGACTTGGTTAGAAAATATTAGAAATGATCTTTATTTATTAGATTTAAATGAGAATTTGAATTTTAACATGACACAATGGCGAAAAAGGATCATAGTCGACCCCACCTAGTGGGACAAAGGCTTGATATTGTTGTTGTTGTTGTTTGATATGTTGCATCATAGGGTTTAATCATGACAATATTTTGTTTATTTGATTGAAGAAGCTGTGCATTTGGTCCTATAGGATATATAATTTTTTTTGAAGAATTTCTTAATATATCAAACTAGCTTTAGTGATTTCAAGTGGTGTCTTATTTTAAAGAGGAAATTTTAGTTTTGCGCAACTCATAACAGATTTTGGGTTAATGATATATGAGCTAGTAAAGTGAAAATTAGTTTCATTTGCAAAAACATATTACCTATAAGAAATATAAAAAAGTACTAATCTCTATTCAATCTTCAGTTCAGAAGGGAGCATAATTCAGCAGTAAGAGGAACCCAACATGATTTTTACGATACGTAATTAAAAAAACTTTATATCAATGTGTACAAGCTTCAACTAATTGCCTTCTTTCTGTCTTTTAGCTTACGTAATATACAAAATTATATGCAACTTCATTAGGTTTACATTGCATTGTTCAACCATGAATAATAAAAAATCAGATGCAAATTATTATATAACTTCAATGTATTTACATTGTAACAATCAGACTTGATTGATCAAAAAAAACAATTCGTTGTCTATCAAGAGTTTAATTCCATCAACTTAGTTTTGGAAAGTTTTGAATTACTATCACAAATGACACATTATTTGTGTATCATAACTAACTAATTCATAGATATTAATTATCACATTTCTCATATTTTTGGGCCCATGATGAGTTTAAAATTATACATTTATTACTTATGGAATTGTTTAGTTGAAAATATAAATATCATAAACATTTAATTTAACATAGCCTTTAAATGGATCACCAATATCGTTTAATGGGCTGATTATTTAAGCCTTTTCAAAGAAGCAATTACATATAGCCGAGATAGACCCACTAACCCAATGCAGGCCAACAAAGCTATCTATGGTCATGCCTGCAAGCTAATGGGCTAGCCCAATCCAATCCAATCCAATTGGCAATCATAGTGTGAAGCCACATAACTACACATAGGCTAAAGTCATTCTTTGACAAATGATCCATTATTATGTAGCCAATTTGAAACTAAACAGTACTTTTTGACAACATTTCCCATTTCTGGTTCTTCATTGGGAGAAGTTGGGAGAGTTCTCAACCACACTTCAACTCTATAAACCCCCATTTGCTCTTGCACCAACAAATTGAGGGTTTTTGTAAATTCTAACTTAATAAATTTTAAATTTTAAGTATTTGGACCTGATATTTAAAATCATTTTCTGCCCTTCTTAATGTTGCAGCATTGTCATTAAGATCATAAGACTTCATCAATCAAGACTCAATAGAGACTTCGGAGTCGCTGTAAACCAACAACTGATATTGCAAAAGCGGCAAAAATGCATTGTGACAATAACAAAGATGTCCTCCCTAACCAAAAACAATAAGGTTGAGGATAAGTGCTGTCCCAAATTTAAGCTCTACTAGAACTAAAAAAATACATGCGAATGGATCATCAATGGTGCTTAGAAAAAATAAAGGATGGAACCTCCTTGGAGCTTATAACTTAAAAGAACAAAGAGGTTTCTACAAGTAATATTGGTTGCAATACTTCAATGTATCTTCCTCAATTTTTCCCTAAGTCTCAACAATTAGGATATTTACGAAGGATGTAGAAGAGCTTCAACTTATCATATAACAATATAGCATTAAATTCCCAGCGGGGAGGGTTGGAACTTGTTGTTTTTTTTACAGCTTATGGGACCACTAGAACAATACTTCATAGTGCAGAAACAATTTAAGACACTTGTAAATGACTAGACCTATCCCAGTGAATTTCATACACAATTTTGAATAATGTTGTTTAGAATTTTGCCAAGAGCACATAATTAGATGTCCAGGTAAACCTAATTAGGGTCGCAGGTCAATTGGTGACTTTTTCCAAATGCAAGCACTTCAAAAATGTTACCAATAACCTCTTCTAGAGATTGCATTCTGGGCCAACTACCGAGCCACAACTACACTATTTGGGTTTTTAATGAGTGGGAATAATGGGATACACATAATCTTGATGATCTAGACATGCATATGAAGCAAAAATATATGATTTATCTGCAAAGAAATGTAGTTAGATCAAAAGATGCAATAAGGAATGTAAGAAATTGAAATCCCAATTGGATAAAAAACTAAAGTGCATGAAATATATCACAAACAGTAACCTTTTTGAGCCTCAGATTGCTGCCCAACACCCGCTTGAGGCCGGTATCAGTGATTCCAGGGCATCGAATCAAACTCAAACATTGTAGGTTTCCTTGGGCCCTCTCTGTCAACTTATAAAGATCATCATCAGTTAATTTGTCGCTCAATGGAGAATCTATGTGGATACATCTCCATAACAGGGTGTCATTCTGGACGGCAATGCGCAATGACCTGCAAACTCTTTCAACCGAAAGAAGATCTTGAACACCCAAATATCCAAGGGATAAGATCAATCCCTCATGCACGGAACTCTCATCAACACAAGAATAAATGGAATCCCTCATGCTAGTAACAGGATCTTCCTCCACTGACAAAAAACTTTCATCTCCAGTAACATCAAGAACTGGTCCTGAGAAGCCCTTGCTACAAAAATCAACAACATAACTTCCAGGATTCAGCTGAGTCTCAATCGAAGACAAAACAGCCTTGTTCCAATAGTAACTCAAGCCAGCAACCAAAGCATCACCCTCCACAATACAATCATCATTGTTAGTTTCAATCCACTCTGCAATAGCTACAGATATTTTGGTGCCCAAATCCATCTCCAATAAAGTATTGTCCAGATTCATATCAAATGGATCCACGGGTAAGAGATCTATGGGATCATAAGAACAATTGCTTTCATCCCATTTTACATCTCTGCCAAAATCTCCATAGTCACAAACACAATTGATTTCCCAGTTCAGCCAATCATGAAAGCAGAAGCTTTTGCACTCCTCATGCATCATCGTGATGGCTAAATACTTAGATCAAGAGATGAAATTAAGGGCTGCTATATCCCACGTGTTTCAAAGAATATCTTTGAAAAAGCTCAAGAGAGGGTACTTAGAACAGGAGGTAAAATTAAGGGCTACTTGGTCCCACGTGCTTCCGAGAATACTTCAAAAAAAACTGCGTATTCTGAAACCATGCAACAACATAATTAACTAACAGCATCAGTAATAAAATAATTCTTATAAAAATGCTTAGGATTGATCCCAACTCATGAACTATGTAAGAGACTAATAATAATCCTTTAAAAAAACCCTGTTTTTGTAATATCTTGGATTATATCAAAATCAATGCATCGTATTTTTATTAAAATCAAAATTTGGAGCATATGTTAATGCAAACTCTGATACAATTATTTCTTCAGAAATAATCTGATGATCATAGAGTTAAAAATAAACAGAGAGAGAGAGAGAGAGAGCTCTGTTCATTCTTCAGAGGAAAATGCCAAATATCACACATCAAGAAACATTTTTGATAGCCTAACCAAGATCCAAATTGAAAAATGAAGCTACAAAAAATAAAAATAAAAAAAGTACGTCTGAAAATCATAGATAAATCAATACAGATTAATCAATTGTAACAATGCAGATTAGAACCTACAGAATTTTGATTTTACTGTCAGTTGTTTTTAAATAATAGAAATATATCCCAATATTTTTATTGATTAGAAGTAGGAAAATCATAGATAAGTATACCACAATGCCAATAAAAGATAAAATTTAGTATAAGTCCACATATGGACCAAATTTTATACAAGGGCCAAAGAATATTCATCATAAAGCATGGGAAAAACCAAACTTGAACTTGCAACCGCTAACTTGGGAACCAAAAGGCTTTATATCAGAACTGGAGCCTGATTGTTATTTAAGCTTCGCTTGAATGAAGCAGTATACAATAAAAAAAAAACTAGAATATATTTGGATGTAATTGGCTTGTTAGAAATTCATTCAAAATCATCCAAAACAAGCAACCTTTTAAACTTAAGCAGGATAGATGTACATTATGCAAAAAGAAAACATGAAATTATCAATACTCAACATAAGATAAGTTGAGAAAATATGTAAAGCAAGGTCTTAAAGTGCATTGAAACACCAATATCATAATAGATGAGCATTTGAAAAACACCAATTGGACATTTGACATATCTTTTTGGGGAGAAAGGAATACATCAATCATCCAAAAAAGAAAAGAAAATAAAAACAAGTTGGGATATCTTGAGTAAGATTCCAAGCAAACAATTAGGGTATAAAAATGCAAAAAACATCCAATCCATTGATACAGCACAACAATTAGTTCAAAGCATAAATAACTATCGTGCATGTAACAATGCGCGTGAATAATGATTGATCCTATAGAGCTTTATTGATATAATCCAATAGAATTAACCCAGAACGGAAAGATTATAAAAAACTGTGAGAGTAGCTGCTCGGAATAAGTACCTAAAAAATCCATTAAAATAATCATCAAAACAAATAAACCTCCAAACCTTAAAGTTAGCAGCTATACACGATAAAAGAAAAGCTAAAAAATAACAACGCTCAACCACATAAACCTATAACGGGAAAATCATATAATCCGAACTCTTAAAAAGGACATTGAAATATTCCTTCTTTCAAACCTCTCTCCATGCCCTCTCCAATCTTATCGACCTCACCAAACCAATCTATTCGCCTTCCCAAGATACCTCCTTCCTAACTTGCTAGGGTTTACCAAAGGTTTGTGAGCCAAAATTACCTGATGCCAGAGGTGAAAGATCGCCGGAGCAGCCCTTGTTCAAAATCCACAAGAAAACAAGACAAGGAATCAGAGAAAGAGAGGAACACGCACGGTTGTAATCCGAACACACACCGGATATGGATGCCGGAGAAGATATCGAGATTCAACGAGAGATATAATCGTTGAAGAGAGAGGAGACCCTAACCGTACTCAAGGATGGGGAAGGATGATTTGATGCCGAGCTCAAAGATAAAGGGGAAGACAACAAAAGAAAGAGCGGCGAGAACATGGGCTGCGACCACTGCGGCTTATTTTCTCCGCCGTGAGGGTGCACGTTTACAATGGACTTGCGAATGGAAATCGCAGGTGAGATGTAGCTGTAGAAGCCCTCGCGCACAACTTGGAGTAAGACAAGACAGGGAATCGAAAAGACAAAGGAACAAGCGTGCTTGTGACGCGAAAACGCACACCGGCGATGGATTCCAGAAAAAGATATTCAGATTCCAAACAGGGAACAAGCTTAAACCATGTTCAACCCAGTGGAGAGGAGTGGCCGCCGAGCACGAGGATAAAGAAAGAAGAAAAGGCAATAAGATCCGCGAGGGTAGCTAAGGCGAGCCGTGCGGCTTATTTTGTCTGTGTTGTGGGTAGATATGGAATGGAATAAATAAACTGATCGCCGAATCCGAGATCTCGCCGGAGAAACCTTCGTACACTACCAGAAGAAGTAAAATACAAGGAATCAGAGATAACGAGATAGCATGACCTGTGCTTGTGAAGGAAACAGGCACACTGGAGATGGTAAACAAAGAAGATAACCCGATTACAGGAGGGATCTGCTCGTCGGAGAGCGAAGAAACCCTACCCGTGCTCGGAGATGAGGGGTAGGCGAGCAGATCGGTATGGGGCAAGAGGCGATATCTTTATTAGACCGCGCCTAGTTTTTTTCCGCGGTCTACGTTTTTGGTGGGAAGAACGGATGATTTGGCTGTTTCTAGTCCCGCGCAGTGAAAAGAGTAGACGGGCGGCGGCGCTGGGCTGTGGTGTAGCGTGCGCGTCATGTTTTGCCGTCGTGTATTAGCCGTAAAATCTTATGTATGCTGTGATGAACCGTGCATAATAACAACTTGGTAAGAACCTTCATTTGCGTTAATATTCGTGCCGTGCATTTGTGTCGCTGGGTCCGATTACATTTTCATTGGTTAAGAAAAAGAAATGGTTGGTTACAAATGCCAGCTCTTACTTGGTGGCGAAGATTGTTTAGAGTGGGTGCAAATAAGTCAAGTTTAGCTCAATTTACATCTAATTTGAATTTGACTTTGATGAACTAATTTAGTTCTAATTTGAGCTTTATTCAACGAGTTTGTGCTGATTCATGAGCCGACTCATTTATCAAGAAAGGGATAAATGATTACGATTTATTAAATTATAAAAAGAATGAGAAATTTAAAAAATAAAAAAATACTTAATATAAGAAAATGATATATAATTTTCAAACATTGTAAACAATTTTGCAATTAAACTTCTTAATCATAAAATATTTTTAGTATATTTTATTAATGCTTTTTTAAATAAAGTGGCTAATGAGTCGAGTCAGGGCTGACTAAAGTTTGGCTTGTTAGCAGCTCTTCAAACTCAGATCACAAGCCATTTATAATGCATTGCCCAAGCCGGCTCACAAGTCGGCTTGAATCACTTACACCACTAGTTAGCGCGGGGTAATGGCCGAGGAATGTGCACCCTTGCTATGATGTATTCATTTAAAAAAAATAAATTGTATTAGAATACTTCAAGGTTAACTGTGTAGAAACGTAGCACAAGAAGATGAGTGAAGAAGAAGAACAGTAACAGAGATAAAGAATTTGTAAAGAATATCTTATTATCTCTTATCATATTACAGTAGACATACAACTCAATATATAGCTTTTGCTGAAGTAAAGTTGTACACGTGTAGACTTCTTATTTGATACAAGAAGAGTAGGTAGATATAATATAATTTTCCTTAACATTCCCCCTCAAACTGGGTATTAGTACCAATAGTCAGTTTGTCTCTAAGCATTCTGAACCGAGGTGTAGACAAAGGTTTGGTGAGAATATCTGTGATTTGATCAACCGTGCTAATAGTTAGTAAACGGATAACATTGTTCAAGATGTGATCACGTACCAAGCGTTGATCGGTTTCTATATGCTTGGTACGAGCGTGGAAGACTGGGTTGTTTGCAAGTGTGATTGCCGACGTGTTATCGCAAAATATATCTACCGGTGCCGAGTGTGTGACTCGAAAATCAGTAAGCAAGCGTTTAATCCATATTGTTTCTGCGGTGGCGGAAGCTAAAGCTCTGTATTCTGATTCGGTGGAAGATCGGGAGACAGTGTTTTGTTTCTTGACTGTCCATGACACTAATGTATCACCAAGAAAAGTACAGAAACCGGAGGTTGATTTGCGGGTCGCCGGATCAGATGCCCAATCAGCGTCCGAGTATGTACGAAGCAGTAGATTGGATCGGGTAATAGGTAGTCCAAAGTCTGTGGATCCCTGAATGTATCTGAGAAGTTTCTTGAGCATAACCGTGTGTATGGGATCCGGATTGTGCATGTGTTGAGAGAGTGTATTGACAGCATAGGCGATGTCCGGCCTTGTCAATGTGAGATACTGAAGACTTCCGATGATTCGTCTGTAGCTTAGTGCATCGAAAATTGGCGGATCACCGTGTTTAAGCGCTGTGATTTTTGTAATAGAAGGATTAGCGACCGAGTTACATTTCTGTAGCTCGGCCATTTGAAGTATAGATTATGCATAAGAACTTTGGAAAATAAAATACTTATCATGTGTGTGATCTATCTTGATGCCAAGGAAGTGGTTCGCCGATCCGAGGTGTTTCATAGTAAATTTGGATTTGAGTTTGTCGACGAGATCTGTCATAGCTTATTTGTTATTGCCTGTGAGGAGGATATCGTCGACGTATACCAATAAGTAGAGATGTGTATTGTCTTTGTGCATGATGAGGAGAGATGGATCCGCCTGGCTATGAGAGAATCCAATCTGGCGGAGATAAAAGGTAAAGGTGGTATACCATTGTCTTGGAGTTTGGCGCAGACCGTAGATGGCTTTTTGTAGGCGACACACGTGAAGAGGATTAGTTGCATCTTCGAAACCTTTGCGCTGCTGCATGTAGATGGTTTCGTTGATGTCTCCGTGCAAGAATGCATTAGCCATGTCGAGTTGTTGAATCTGCCATTTGTGAAACAGGGCTACGGTGAAGAGAATTCTGATAGTTGGAAGTTTGACAACTGGATTGAATGTGTCTTGATAATTAATGCCATATTCCTGTTGATTCCCTTGAGCTACCAATCTTGCTTTGAATCGAGCCACCGAACCATCAGAGTTGTACTTGGTTCGGTACGTCCATTTAGACCCAAGAATAGAGCCATCGACAGGCGGTGGCACCAATGTCCAAGTGCCCTGTTTTTGAAGAGCAAAAAATTCTTGAGCCATGGCCTGACGCCATTCGAATTTCTTGCTTGCTTCGCTATATGTGGTTGGGTCACCTTGAGGTTGGTTTTGATGAAGTAGGTTAAGTCGTTGAACCGATTTAAGAGAGCTGGTCTTAGAACGGGTAGTCATCTGGTGTTTGATATTATTGTTCAAGGGCGGCATTGACGTGTTTTGAAGTTCAGTGTGTTCTTGCATGTTTTCTGATTGATTGCGAGGAGTATTGGAGACCGGAGATGTGGATCTGGTAGTGTTACATTTGTTGTGACTATATTGTAGAATGGAGTGAGGCATAAGCAACGGAGTTGGAAGTTGAGACGCTACTTGAGTAGCCCGAGAGAGTCTGTCCTTATAAGAAAAAACAGATTCATTAAACTTAACATTTCTTGAAACAAAAATTCGATTAGTTACCGGATTAAGGCATTTATATCCTTTTGAAACCTCGGAGTATCCCAAAAAGATGCAGAATTGTGACGTTGGCATGAGCTTCGTGCGTTGACCCGAGGGAAGCAACGGAAAACACTGGCATCCAAAAACTCGAAGATGTTCATATGAGGGCTGAATGTTGAACATTCTTTTGAGTGGAGGCGTATTGTTGGTAGTCGTTGACGGCAGGCGATTGATCAAGTATGTGGTTGTTAATGCCACGTCTAGCCAAAAATCCAACGGAAGACCAGCCGTCTGTAGGATGGTTCTGGTTGTGGTAATTATGTGCCTGTGCTTTTTTTTTTTTTTTTTTACAATCCCATTTTGTTCGGGAGTGTAGGGACACAAGTATTGGTGTCGAATTCCTGCATTCTTGATGAAAGTTTGAAACTGATTATTAACAAACTCACCACCACCGTCGGTACAAATAGTTTTGATTTTCAAGTTTGTTTGTCTTTCGATGAATTAGTAAAATGAATAAACGTGTTTGTAACATCAGATTTATGCTTGATAGTAAATAACCAGGTAAATCGAGAAAAGTCATCTACAAATATAACATAGTATCGAAAACCTTGGTATGACGAAACCGGTGACAGACCCCACACATCAGAGTGAACTAGTTCAAGGGGGAGCTAGTTCTACTGACCGAGCGTTCAAACACAAGTTTTTGACCTTTACAAGACATACAAGGTATACAAACAGATTTAAATGGTAAAATATGTAAAACATGATTGCTAGTAGAGATGTTTTCCAAGACGCGTTGATGTGGGTGGTCGAGGCGGAGATGCCAGTTATTCGAAGATGTGCTGGAAGCTCTTAAGGCGGTAGCAGGTGCAGTCTGAACGACTGATGCAATCTTGTACATCCCTTTGCTGCACGGTCCTTCAAGGATAACTTGATTTGTCTTCCGATCCTTGATTATAAAGCCATTCTCATCAAAGGTTATCGATATATAATTATCTTTAACAAGATTTGAAAGGGATAGTAAATTGTAGGAAAGCGAAGGAATATGTAAGAGTTTAGAAAGAATTAGCTTACTGGCCGGGGTAGGAAGAATTCCCGAGCCCGTATGAGCTATTGGGACAGACCTTCCATCCCCAAGAGTTACCGTATCATTGTCGTTATATGTGTTGTAGAACTCAAGGTTGTCAGTGTGATTGGTCATGTGAGAAGAAGCCCCGGAGTCTATGTACCAATCCATGGTTGACGTGCTGTCGTTGTGGGCAGCGAGAGCACTGT